GACCTGCGGGGTGCTGTGAGGACTAGGAAGGATGTGAGATGCCCTTGGCAGCAGCCAGCCTGGTCCTAAGCTCATGGTTCCTGGTGGTACCAGCCCGGCCTTGCCGAAGCCATAAGGGCCCCTGGGAAGGTTTGGGTGGCCCCTGGTCACATTCCTGGTGTGTCTGCTAACATTTGCTGCCCAACCCCATTTCCTGGGGTCCCTCTCCTGTATGGAGTTGAGTGGCTAGGCTGAACTCTCAGAAGAGTTTTTCCCCTATTTCATCTACACTCTTTGGGGGAGAAATGAGGAAGGAGAGAGAAAGCTCTATCTTCCTCTCAGCAGCCCGGCCCTCTACACCTTGGCAGGCCTGGGGCTTATCACAGCAGCCCCACTCACCTCACCTCACCTCACTCCTCCCTCAGGACAACTGTGGGAGGGCCAGAGGGCTCGTGTTGTCATCACCTCCATTTTACAGATGAGAAAACCGAGGCCTCTTGGCTCAATTCTTGGGCCACTCCATTCCAATCTCAACACTATCTTCACAGTGACTCAACAAAACCCCAAAGCCAAATATAAACCTGTTAAGCCCTGCTTTAAATTCCCTCAGTGGCTCCCAGCTGCTTAGAGCAAGATTGAGAAAACTTTTCTACAAAAGGCAGATGGTAAATACTGCAGACAAAAATCCATACTTACATAACAAGAGAGAAAACAAATTTCCACCAAAAGTGTTATCAGTGAAATTCAAAACATAATAACGAGTACAGTTTTTTTATAATCTAGTTCTAACGAGAAGAATAGATTTCTTGTTTTGGAGAGAGAGGGGGGTAACATCTCATTTGGGGTTCAAAGTTAGTGTTCCCTATCATCAAGTCCATTTTTACGCTCATCTATAAAAAACCATTTTGAACTCGCGGGCCACATAAAGACAAGTAGTGGGCTGGATTTGGTCTGGGGGCCATCGTTTGTCTATAAAGGATCAAGTCTCAGCCCCTTAACCAGCAAACACATCGCAGGGCCTGACCCCCTGTCTCTTCCAGCTCTCCAATTGTCCCCAAATGCTCTTTGCATCTTAAACAGGCTTCACTCTCTCTCCCAACCCAGCCTCCACTTCTACCCCATTTCCAATCTGGGAATTCCTCTTTCCAGGCTGTACTCTTTTTTGGGATGACTTACTTAACACCTCTCCTAAACCCCTTCCGTCCCATAGAGCCCAGTATGGACCTGTAGCACAGACCTTAGCACATAATATCGCAGTTGGGGGTTTATAGTCTGTAATTCCCTCACTGGCCTGGGATACTCGCTCTTAGGGGAAGGGGCTGCTGCATTCCTATTGTACTCTGCGCATGCTCCAAAATTAGGAAGGGGCTCTAGCGACCTCCGCCCAGTTCTTCTGACTATGGGATGAGGTTTCCTGCACCACTGCCACCCCGGGCCACCCAGCTGCCTTGGCGGTACCATGTTCTTACACCCAACTATGCCCTTGGCCCCCTGACTGACCCAGGGTAGGTACTGGATTCAGGCCTATTGGTCTTTTCCTGAGAAATGGCATGGGGGTAGGAATTAAAACTCTGGAGGGCTGGCAGCCATGGTCTCCATCTTGAGTGGAGACCCTGCTGTGAGAGAGGCGGGGGAGGCTATGCAGAGAGAAGCAGGCAGCAGTCCTAGGCAGAGAGGGTCTTGGTGGCATTAGAGTCTGGCCTCGGCACTTCCTCCTGAGGCTCAAGCTGCATCCCTGCTCTGCTAACCATCTGCCTGTCGGCCCTCCATGGAAACCACAAGATGATAGACCCCCTTTCATACCCAAGCTAATTTGAGTTGTATTCTGTTAGTGGCAACCCAAAGACTCCTACTATCCTGAACTTGGTGTTCTCCCCGCACTGTTACACTTGTTTCTTTTAAGCATAGGAAGCTCTCGTTCGCACAAAATCTTACTTGTAAGCCCAAGCTATGAAATAAATGATAAATGATAGGGTAGAATAGACTGCACACTGCCTGGGATGAAATTCCCACTCTCACAACTCCTAGCTTTGCAAGTAAGGCTGAGACACTTACCCCTTCAGCCTCAGTTTCTCTTTGTGAAAAACAGAGAGTAGAGATACCCAACTCTTTGGGTTGATGTAGGGTTTAAAGAAGCTCAATATTTGTGCATATGTAAATCGCCTAACACAGTGACACTCGCTCAAGAGGCATCAGCTATTATTATATGGAAGTGGGCAATGGGGAAACACAGCAATCAGCACCCTTAGCTTCCCTTCTCACCTCCTCCCTCAGCACGTCGTCTTTGGAACTAATGTAATGTTTAAATTATCTGAAATGATTGGTGTAATATATGTCTTTCTGGCTATGCTGGAAAGTCTTGCACAGACAAGAAGCGTAAGTGTCTGGGTCACTGTTTTTCCCAGGTCTGCCTAGCACAGTAACTGGCCCATAGAAGAGGTCCAATGACTATTTATGGACTACCTGATAACAGATATATGTGTTATCTCATTGAAAAATAGACACCACACATGTTACCAAATCTGGTGCCTTCTGCAGTAAAATCAGAAAACTCAGAAGAAGAGAAAAAGGCTTGACTTACAGGAGAGTGGTAGCCCATTCAGAACTAAAGTTAACATTTTTTGGTTTGGTCAGTCATGTTACTTAGAGGTTCCCCCATTTTATAACTAATTAATGTTATGAAAACACAATATGACAGAATTTATCAAATACAATTAAAGCAATAATAAGAGCATAGTATTAATAAGGTAATTAATAAGCCTAGCCTAAAACACTCAAATCAGTAAAAATGAAAACTAATAAATTAAATTCCAAACTCAAAAAGACAGCAAAAAATTCCAACAAAGTAAAACAAAATAAGGCACAAAGAAAGAAACAATAAAGATAAAATCAGAAATTAATGAAATAGAGAATAGGAAGACAAGTGACCCACGGAATTAAATTCCTGATCCTCTGAAAAAAATTAACAAAACAGACAAACCACTTACTAATTCAGTCAAGAAAAAAGTGAGAAAATTCAAAAACTACAAAATTACAATGGGAAAATAACTATTAAAAAAGTAGAAATTTTAACAATTGTTAAGACTATTTTGCAAATCTCTATGCAAATCATTCTGAAATAGTTCTGAAATAAAATAGTTACCTGGAAAAATACAGTTAACCAAAATGACCCCATTAGAGATAAGAAAGCTTCAACAGATCAATTTTTTGTAGAAGAAATAGAGAAAACTGTCAAGGAATTTCCCCATAAAAAAAGCACCAGGTCCAAAGAGTTTCATAGGAGGTACAAACCTTCAAACACTAGACAGTTTTAATGCTGCACAAATTCCTTCAGTGCATAGAAAATAAAGGTAAGCTTCCAAATTATTTTTATGAAGCAAATATAACATTGATCTGTAAACAATATCACTTACAAATACTGGTGCAAAAATCCTAAAATAAATATTAGCAAAAGAATCACCTCATATTAAGAAAAAATTTCAATGTAACTGAAGGGATTTATTCCAGGAATGCAATGTTGGTCTGATACTATACTACAATACTCCATATTAGGGTTCTAAAAAGAATCATCTGATTATCTCCGCTGATGGTGAAAAAACCTTTGATAAAATCCAACACTAATAAAAAACCACTCATGGAAACAGAAAATGATTGATACTTCCTTAACATGATAAAATGTTTAAACATTAATCCTATAGTCAGCATCTACTAAATGAAGAATCACTAGAGGCATTTCCACTAAGATCAGGAACAAGGCAAGGATGCCTATTATCTCCACTACTATTTATTATCACCCTGGAGGTATGAACCAACACAATTAGACAAGAGAAATCAATTAGAGCCATAGAATTGAAAAACAAAAAGCAAAACTATTTGCAGATGATGTAATAGGTACCTGGAAAACCTGAGAGAATCAATGCTCCAATTAACCAAGCAAGCTGGCAGAATATAAAATTAACATGGAGAAACCGACATTTTTCATATACACAAAAGTAACCAGTCAAAAGACATAATTGTGAATAAAACTCCATTTATAATAGTATTCAAGAAGATAAAATGCTTAGAAAATAACCAAATAAGAAATGTGCTAAACCTACAAAAGGTACACCTTAAAATGTGCCTAAATGATATATAAATAGACATCAATGAATACAAAGACATCCCTTGTTCTTGGGTAAAATGACTTGATATCATAAGATATCATTTCTCCCAAAGTTCATTTACAAATAACACAATCCTCCCAACATTACCACTAACCTTTTTATATGTAGTTATACAAGTCGATACTATAATTCATGTGGGAAATAAACATGCAAGAATATTTCTGATATTCTAGGGGGAGAAAAACCATGAGGGGAGTCTAGATCTACCAGATATTAAATCATGATATGAAATCTCTAAATTTAAAACAATGAGGAACTGGCATTTGAATAAACAAAGAGATCAGGGGAATAGAAGAAAAATCCAGATATAGACTCAAGTACATATGGAAATGTAGTATATGATGATGGTGGTATCTCAAATCATTGGAACGTAGATGGGCTCTTTAAATGAAACGGTGCTGGAAAACAGGGTAGCCATTTGGCAAAAAGATAGTAAACCCATACCTCACACCATCCACACAAATAAATTCTGAATTAAAAAAGAAATAAATATGTACGTACTAGAACACACAGAAGAATGCCTCTATAAACTGGATATACAGGATGAATACAATAAAATAAGATTGGTAAAAAAAAAATAATTGACAATTCATTAAAATATATATAGTGTGTATATATATATGTGTGTGTGTATAGATATATACAATATATATCTATATATACATATATATCCACATATAAAAGGATTACTATATTTTTTACCCCCAAAAGTGTTAACTCAATTGCAAAAATGATGTCATCTTACCTAATAAGCCACTTATAAAGGCTCATTTAAAAAGGGCATCATGGAAGGAGAGAAAGTGACCGGCGGGGAAGGAGGGGAGTTTCTGTTTGCATTAATACTGGCTCCAGCTTTACCTTCTTCAGTTTCTTGTGGGCCCCGCTGTGGTTCCCCTGGGCCAGGTCGGCCCCGCTCAGGAGCCGGTATGTCTCTGCCACCTCAGGACTGAGGTCACCAAACACTCCCACTTTGGCTTCCAGGGACTCTCTCAGGATGGAGGTTGCTTTCTGTCAAAGAAATCAAAAGCTGTCTGGTTAAAAAGTTCTAAGATCAGGGCTGGCCGAGTGGCGCGATGGTTAAGAACTGGATTGGGACGCCAGAGGGCCCCGGTTCGGATCCCACATATGAGGGCCAGTGACACTGCCCTCCACAGCTAAGATGCTGAACAACAGCTCAACCTGGAGCTCGGCTGCAGTGAGTCACCAGCGACGGTGTAGGCTGCAGCCCCTGTGGCAGTGGGTTGCCATGGGCTACCGTGTGTAGCAAGCAGCCAGCGTGAGCGGCCAGCAGCCGCAGTGAGCGGCCGTCCAGAAGCCGGCGACTGATCTGCCTCACCTGGGAAGAGTGCAATGATGGTGCCAACTTGGGCCAGTGAAGCAACGTCCTCCACAACTAGACTGAAGAACAAAAGGACAGCAACTTGTCTGTTCCCCTTCCCCCAATTCCCCAGCACTGTTCCCATCCCCCCAATTCCCCAATAAAAATCTTAAAAAAAAAAAAAAAAAGTTCTAAGATCAGCTGATAAAGATCAGTGCCTTTTAAGACAATGATGTAACTCATGTGTATTTTTACTTTTTAAGGGAATGGGTTTGGGTAGCGCGTCTCATGACCTGAGCCCACTTTCCTCTGGTTGAACAGGAGATAGGAATAACATCCGTGGGAGAAAAAAGGTGTGAATTATGAAAAGAGAATGCATAAAGGACACCGGGAGAAAAAGCCACTTCAGAGATTATAAGAATGCATTCTAGCTGAGTAGTAAGACAAAAAGCTAACATGGATTGTTCTTGGTGTGTCAAGAACTGTGTGAATCAGTTTACATGTGTGAGCTCATTTAACTCTGTCTCCTTTAGATAAGCACAATTTTAACCCTCATTTGACAGAGGAGGAAACTGAGACACAGAGCTGTCAAGAAACCTGCTCAGAGTCCGACAGGATCTGAATCTGGCCAGTAATTTTAATCTTTTTTAGTTGCAGGGTCTTCTCCATCTGTGCACAGTGACCTTCTTCCCCTCCCCTCCCGCCCCTGCACAGTGACATTCTTATATAAGTAAAAACTACCATTTCCTGGTGATTTATCTATTTACAGAACATCCAAAACATATTCCAGGGTTTTCATTTCTGATAAGAAGTTGTTTATAAAACCACAAAAAAAAGCAAACATTCCAATGTGATAAAAAATTAAATATACTTGACATTTGGTTTGGTTTATCTGATTTATTTATACCAACATGGAATAAACAACATGAACTGGTCAGAAACCAGTATCTTCTGAAATAAATCTCTTCAGTCAGACACCAAGACATACAGAGGGGAAACCCTGTATGTCGGCCTCCCATGCTTTTCCTGAAATTCTTCCAGGATCTTTTACATGAAGGCACGGTTACAGATGCAGAACACAAATGCTGAATGTAGCAGCTAAGTAAAGTGGGAGCCAGTGAAAGGGTCTCCCCCACCATCCCCCCACACAGCCCTGAAGGTGTCCGGACAGCTCTCCACAGATAGAAGGAACTAGGGGTGGGCGAATCACAGTAAAGGCGCTGATGAGGCAGAAATGCACTGCCCTTGTCGCCTGCCAGGAGCCAGTGATGGAAAGAGCCTGACTCCTTTCCCTATATGAAGCTCCCGATGCCATTTACAGCCTGATTGGGGAAACTACAGAGATAGATGTGCATGAGTGTGAATGGTAAGTCGAGATGGCAATGGAAGAGATGCCACGTGGGTTTAGAGGAAACAGGCTGTGGCAGCCTCTGAGAGCTGGGTAAGATTAATGGAGAGGAGTGAAGGATAATAGGGCTTCGATGGGCTGAGAAAGGTCGTGGGAAACTGGGGGCACAGACATGACGCGGACGAAGACATGGCAAGTTCAGGGCCAGTGAGTGGACTCATCTCACCGCTGCACAGAAAGGCGGGAGGGGAGCCGGGGGAGATGAGGTGGAGTCACAGGCCGGGCTGGTGATGCGGCTGTGGTGCCAGCCTGAGGAGTTTAGCTTTTCTTAGAGGAAGAAAGACGTCACAGAAGGGTCTTGAGCAGGAGAGGGTCACAACCAGAAGATAAACCCACACACCCCTTCACTCACATTTTCCCTGAATTGGCATTTTCCTCCCCAAAGATCACCTTCCTGTTGACACAGGGCTTTGGGACCACATCTGGGGTGGTCTGAGCACAGCTCTGCATGCATCCCAGGGACTGTCCTTGGGCCCAGCCCCTGTTGGCTTCTCCGGCCAGAACCCACGGCAAGAGGCCTGCACCAATGGTGATAACGATGCACGGTTGCCATGTTTGGTCAGATGGGTTGTGCCAGGCACAAGGGCGCCTGGCAGGAGAAGGAGGAACCCCCAAATCCAGCCGGTGTTCTGCTCTCCGAGCAACGTGCTGTGGCTCGAGCTGTGTCCCAGCCAGAACCACAGGTGGAGAGAACCAGGGCCTGTCCACTGGGTTCTCAGGGCTTCCAGTCCTTCGGACCCTTTGTGGGTGAACATGGTTCTATATTCTCATAAACAGTTTTGTTTCCCAAGATCTGGGAGCTGCCTGAGAGTGGCCACGTGGCCTTATGTATCCACGTCCCCGAGGAGCCTGTCACATGCCTGGCACATAATAGATGCCTACTGGATGCCTGCAGAGTGAAGGAGTAGAGCAGCCTGGGCCACCCACATAAACAACTAGGCAACTGTGGTCCAAACTCACTTACCTCTTCTCGTCCAGTGACTTGTAGAAAATGGCAGTATTCATCTTGAATTGAAAGAAACTTGGCTTTTCCAGTCCCTTCAGCATCCTTAAGATTAGCCATGCTCTCTTGAAAATACTGTTCGGCCACATCTGCAGAAAAGCATCATTAACAACAACTTTGAAAACCGCTCATAGATTTGAAATGGAAACAGAATAAATATGCTTTTAGTGGTGGTGGAGCATTTGAAAATACTAAGCATTTAGACAAGAGAATCCAGCTAAGGAAACTATGTTTTGTCCATTAATCTGCCTGTTTTATCAGAAAAGATTTCAGTCTCAGAAGGATACGACAATTTACCTTCCTTGTTTTTTCATGCATCTTAGATACAGTAAGCAACGTTAATGCAAATTATCTCTCAGGCCTGAAGATATCAGTAAGTGTTCAGGTTGAGTATAAGCTCCTCTGTTTCAATGGGGGTCTGTCCACTGCCGGGCCAGCAGATGGGTTTCTAGAGCATTACTCAAAATTTTCTCTTGGTAGGAAAATATTCTATTGCGTGGCAAGTGTTACATCTTTTACTGGTAGCTAACTCATTGGAAAAAAACAACAAAACATTACAGATATAACTGCTCATATTCTTAACTTTGGCTGCTTTGATAATCTGATGACAGCAAATGTGAGGGACGGTTTATTGTTATTTTGTTGACTCTAAAAGCATCAGAGATGAATGTTCCATAGCAAAAAAATTAACGAGGCTGTTCAAGACTGAAGAACTCTTGATATTTTCATTTTCTGTCGAATTGGGAATGAACCAAAGAATGTAACCAGTCAAGCCCTTCTTTGAAAGGAATGATCTTTCATGGTCTCAGCCTTGTTCCCCGGGAGATGAGCCCTCACTATAAAGACCAGCAGATGTCAAGGGTGGAGGACGGGGTTGAGGCAGAACGGACAAGAGCTGACTTGGAGACGCTGGGCTTTGGCAGAGGAAGTGGTGCCATGCTCGGATAGAGGAGGCGGCCAAGCGGAACTGGAAGCACTGCCTCCCCTTCCTGGGTAAGGAGCCGGTCTCTCAGACACGGGCAGACACAGCCGTGCTCAACCCCTCTCCAACCCCCCTCCTGTCCTGCTCTCCTGCCTTTTACTATCCCTTCCCCCGGTGGTCACATGGTGATAGCCAACTGCCCCCAAAAGCACCCCATTTTAGCTGGTCCCCTCCACCTGATGGCTGCATGCTCCTGCCCTTAGTGGAGCTGATGTCACAGAGATGCTGGGAGAAAAGAAGCCGCTCTGCCTAACTCAGACTAGTGTGTAAATGGCTCATAACCTCTGATCTGGGAGACCTATTCATATTTTCCAATGAGGATGCTTGTTAGCACATACGGGTCTCGGGAAGAGGGAGTAGAAGTGAGGGGGTAAGGAAGGGAGGGGAGAGAAGAAGGAATTTATTACTTAAACTAAAGGCAGCGTGGCTACTGAGGTGAAAGAAATCCAGGCGTCGTGCTGGGATGTGAGTCGGGCTCTGTCTGAAGATCTGCCCTCTGGGGTCAGCCTCCCTTCCTCCATTTTGGAATCCTCAGCTTCTCTAAGGGTCCACGTTTTCCCCATTTCTGTTCCTGGAAGGTCTCTAGTCAGAGGGAGGTGAGGATGCGGAGGGGGTGTGGTTCCCTGACAGCTTTCATCACGTACAAGTTGACCACCCATCAGGCATCATGTCAGGACCCTTGTATACTAGAATGGCCCAGAGTTTGGCAATAGAGGAAGGTCGACGGCATCCACTGTGGGTACCTTCCCTGTCTATAAATTTGAAACCACTGTTATCTTCGCCCAGAATACAGGAAAGCTCCCTTATTGCAAGGCTCTGACTTATTTCCCTCACCCCTCCAGCCCCCCAAATTAACTTTCTGGACTATGAGCCACACGACTCGTCTTTGAGGGGAGAGTAAATTTGTCCTATGACTACAGCGAAGGAGTGACTCCCTGACAAGCAGAGTTTGTCCTCCTGGGGCTGGGCATCCCCCAGCAGGTCCATCCGGGACAAGTGACCACAGGATTTCCACAGGGACAGGAGGTCACGACAGGGTGGGTGGGATGCCATCTCCCAGCGTGGACCCTGTGCCCTGAAGCTGGGTGTGGGCTCACAAAGAGCCAGCAGTTTCAGCGCTCATACAAATGGCCATCCCTAACTTTAAAAGCCTCTTCTAGAATCCTTTGTAACCTGACGCTGGTGGCCTTGGCAGGAGATGAGGTCATTTTCTAAAGCACAGGAGCATGACTTAGCTTGTAAATCTGAGCCCTCATGGCACAGGTGTTTCGGGGCCATTAATCGCCTCCCATTTTCCCTCCAACAAAATGTTTCGCCTGTCTGCAAGGTAGAGTGGGGGAGGACGTGTGGCCCAGGGGGCAGGGTGGCTTGATGTCTCCGTGAGGCCCCATGAGGCCCCGTCAGGCTCTGTTCCATCTGCATGTTCACACAGAAGAAAAAGAAAGCAAGTCTTCACTCAAAGATCAAGAGGAATGCACACTGGGGGTCAGGAGGCTTTTCATTAAAATCATTTCCAGTAACCCTGGGTTCATTTTCCTGAGGCTGTCCTAGGCAAGAGCTGGAACAGTGAGGACAGCTTTCATTATGAGAGAGGCCTGCGTGGACAGTGTGACAATCATCTTTTGTGACAGTCTTGGGAAATAGCCTGGGCTCTGGACGAACTGCAAGAGCATTAAGGACCCCAGAGATCCTGAAAATGGAAAGTCTCAAAGCCTGGGTTGGCGTTAGCCCAGAGGAGCGTCAGCACCCAGCAAACAAACAGACTGAACCCATTCAGATCCTGCTGGGGGCCGCCACACTGGCTCTGCAGACAGCTGCCCCGAGGCTGCCCACCGGGCTGGGGGCAGGGACCAGGGGAGCCTGAGGACAGACGAGCCCAGGCTCTGTCTTCCCACCCGGCGGGCCCTCCATGGTCCACAGTGGCCTGGACATGGCTTATGGGAGTGGCAGGCCTCCTGCTCACTAGCCACGTGGTCCCAAGAAGTCCATGACCATTTCTGGGGTCAGGTTTGCATCAGTAGTATGAGGTGACCGAGATGGAGGATGGCAGAGTGGACAGGAAGTGCCTGAACCATGCCTGGCGCTCACAGGCCCAGTTGGGGCTCGGGCACCATGGGGAACCATCTGCCTTAAACATACTCACCACTAGGAAGCTGACAGGACCCCACCCCTACCCCACCACCACTCAGAGTCCCACGTGGGGCCACCCAGGTAGTGGTCAGGGGTGCAACAGACTCAGGCCTATTGCCGCAGTTACTTGTCTTGGTAAAGTGTATGTGTTTTCCGTAAACTGCACCAAAATCCTCTTTGAAGCTAAGTCAGGGTATACATGACAGGCTTTTCTGAGAAGATCTGAACACAAGTTATGAGCCAGCACAAAAGTAAAAAACTGGAGCCTCATAAAAGTGGTTACCAGAGAGGGCATGCACTTCCTCCTCCCTAGGCATGAAGATGATTTTGTTCTCAGCCATGAAGATGAAAGGCTGTTTGTAAGTAAAGCTTGATGGGGTTTCAGTTCTGTCCCAGCTTGTCCCTCTGTGAAGAGAGACCAACAGCATGGACTCGGGGAGAAGAAGAGGCCAGCCCTGTACTCCTCTGCTGGCCCCAAGAGCTGCTGACCCCTGCAGCCCTCGCCTGCCCATCCTCTGGGCTTCCCGACTCCCTGGATCTCTGGGGAGGGCCCCCCCAGTGCCGCTCACTCTGCGCTTCTAGAGTGTGGTTAAGTAGGCGATGCCTGGCCTCTGCACAGGCCTTGCTTTGTCTCTAACTTGCAGAGTGACCAGGGACATACCTTGGACCCCAATTCTCTAGATGGGATGTGCTCAAGGTGCCTTCTAGAGGTTTCTGAGAAGGGGGTCCTACTAACGAGGTAGAAAACAGGGTGAAAGACTTCCCTTTGCATCTCTGGCATCACCCCCCAGTCTCTCTGCAGCCTCCCCGTTCTCACCTGGCCTGTGGAGCACAGAGCAGGCGTGGATGCTGACATCTGCTTCGGGAGCTCAGAGGCAGGCCGAGCTCGGGCTGGCTGGGCATTTTATGATAAGGAATGGGCCCTGTGTAGGAGCTGAGGCAGGGTCTGTCAGCGCACACAGGGATCGAGGGGGGTGGAAAGGCTGAGGAGGAAGGAAGACGGAGTGGGGAGAATGAGGAAGGGAGAGCGGTGGGCGGGTATGGCCAGCAGCGGCTCACTCGCATTTCCACCAGCAGAGGCGGCTGAGAAGGGCCATGGGAAGGTGGGAAACCCGACTGGCTGCTGCCAGGTGGCCATGTTACCTGTCAGGAGCCCACTGGAGCCGGGCGCATGTGTATACCAGGGACTGTCTGACTTCCAGTCTCTCTGGGACACACGAGGCCCGAGGAGCATCAGTAACCCTGTGAGCAGGGAGTGGCCTGGGTGGGGGTCAGGATCCAGCATGGGGGGCAAGCTGAGGGGGCAGGCCACAGGAGGACGAGTTGAGAAAAGGGAGGCTCATGTACGGTGAAAAGGAGGCTTCATCGAGATACAGCGCCAGTTTCAGACACTCACCTATTTCATGGCTACTGTGCAAAATGTGGGGAGAGGCTGGGCAAGTGGGGGCTGGGATTATACATCTTTGTGCACTGGGAATTATATCTCAGGAATGCACCCCATGGTCACGGGTCAGGGATCCCACCCTTTACCCCCAAGGCTCCGACGAGGTAAAACCCTCTGATATCTCTGGACCCTGCAAAAATCCGTGGCCCACTGGAGCCCAGGTTTCAGACGGGCCACTTCCAAACAAGGCCGCCTGTGCTCGGCAGGCTCTGCCTCGTTTACACTGAGATGTACTTGGCTCTGGCCCATTTCATGTGAATATCCTTTAGGAGAAGAGTTATAAACCCAAGGCCAAAGCCCCGAGCACTTCGCAGGGTTGGGAGAGCAGTTAATACCAAGTTTGTCTATGGCTGCTCCGGGAAGCTGGCCAGGCTCAGGTTAGTGACATTCCAGGAGCCTGAAGTGGGAGTCCTTATGCAATCCCAGCCTCCGGTGACTCCCAGGGCAGTTCTGTCTGCATAAGGAATGCATCACAGGCACAGGGCAAAAGGATGGGCTCGAGCGTGGAGCCTGAAACACACTGGCTCCTTGGCCAGTGGTGGTTTTTTTTTTGTCAGAGGGCATTGCCTTCAATGGGCATTCAGCAAGCAGGGCTCCAGAGAACCCCAAACAAGAAAATTTTCTCATGAATGATTCTTTTTTTTATAAATTGTACTCCGCAGACCGATGTAAGCACAGGAAAGCAGAGCAGAGGCGCCCATGCAGGTGGGTTTCCCTGGCCCCCGGGAGAACTGCAGGAGCTGACCAGCCCTCCCTGCACACATGCTCTCCAGGGGCGGACCCGGCCCTCACACTTGTTTTGCCTCACTCAGAGCCCGAAACATTGGAGTAAGTTACCAACAATTACAGATCGACTTCACATAAAAATCTAGATTTCTGTCTTCTCTTAAAAAAGCAGATCTGCCTGCCTTCCACGTGGCAGCGGCTCCATTTCAACAGGGTACCAGCTTCTCAGGTCTGCCACAGTCCTCACTGCTCCACATCGCCTCTCGTATTACAGCCCGCAGTGAGCTGCCGCTTATAAGTATGCTCGTGGTGGCTACTGTTTTCTAATAACTACCCGCTCTGCTCACATGGCTTATTTGGCTCCTATGGACATTTAGATTTGTGACTCTTGCTCCTCCAGGGGATCCCATCAAACATGCGCTTGCATTTTAAGTGCCTTATAAACAGTGGTGGAATGGAAGGTTCCTTTCCCCCATTAAAGGAATTTTAGGCAACAATAAGCTGGTCAAAATGTTGGCTCTTTGAAGGTTTTGAAATTGATTGTTATGTATGGAGTGTTCTAGGGAGTGAGAATCAGAAAGGTCACGGCCTTCTCTAGCTCTAGACGGGCTCCTTCAGCTCTGAAAAGGAGCTCAGCGCTCCAGGAGACCAGAATGAGGGACCCACAAAGTGGGGTGGACGGATGGATCCGAATCTCCTCACCAGCTCCTTCCTGGAGCCCCTGCCTGGTCCAGGCATCTCTGCAGACTGGGACGCTCATCTCCCGCCCGCCAGCCTCCTCGTCTGAACCCAACTCCTGCTCCCGGAGCCCCAACCCCAAGCCGTCCTGGTGTTGATTTTAGGCTTGCTGGCACACTGGACCTTATTTTACTATAACACATAATTATTTTTACCTGACATCTTGGAATACGCCCCTAGGTCTTTTTTATGAGTTATACTCTGTTTCTGAATATTCTGACCAAAAAAAGAAAAAAATGTCACTAGAATGTGTGTTCTCCATCAATACAGGCTCACTGTATGCTCTGATCCCGGGATGGGGAACTAAAGAACTCCCAAGCTTGCGGCTCTACCTGTCATGTAGAGCTAAGAAAAACCATATGCATCATAAATGGCAGCTTCCTTTTGGAATCCTGAAACCGGGTAAGTTCATCCTGACTGAAAGCTCAGCCCTGGGAGAGTTTGGAGGCTGGCTTTCCAACAGGTCAGGAGCTCTGTTGTCAGAGGAGCTCCACAACAATCTTTAAAAATAGATCACCTTTGAAAGCAGAGCAGATTTCCCTGCAAGCCCAGCACGCATTCCCTGGGGCCCTGAATAGCCAGGTTTGGATGAAGAGTCATATTTGAAAGTAAAAGATTAGAGGAAGGCTAAACAGGGCTAGAAAGCAAAGGGCTCTGGTGAAGCTAACAGGGTGGCCCAGCTACAGATGATGGGAAAAAGCCACGAAGGCTCGCCGAACGACCTATGTCCCAGCTCTGTCTACCTGTTCTCCCATCCCAAAGGCAGCTGGTTTGCAGACCCAGGTGTGTGGGGCAGGCAGGGAGCAGGCAGTGCCTGCCCATCACCCACAAAAGGCTGGCTCTCACCATGGTGCTCGGGCCTCCCGGAAGCGACAGAAGTGACGGCAGCCCGGGCGACCCAGTGTGCAGACACTGTTGCCTCCTCTTGTGAGGGCTTCCTGCTCAGGACGATGAGATGTGCCTGTCACCATGGAAAGAAGAAACACGCTTGTTTACATGCCTGGCAGCCGCCACACAGAACTAACTGTTCTCGCAGCGATAAGCAGAAAGCCAGGGAACTTTCTAGCAAGCTGGACAATGTGATGTATGGGGAAGCACAGTCCACTCTTGGGAGAGCAGGGTTTTAAAAGCATTGTGTAGCAGGAGAGCAAAAGCACCGGACGCTGAATCCAGATGGCTCCATGCTGCAGCCAGGACCCACCACTAAGTCAATCATTTAAAAGTCCATGTTCCTGGGAGAGCAGCGTCAGCAGAGGAGCTGGGAGGGTTTGGAGAAGGAAGAGAATAGATTAAAAAGCGCTAGGGCTGTGCAGAGGAGGTGGGCAGGCCCAGGCCCCTGCCTACCGGTCAGCCCAGAAAGGAGGACTGACCTGCGGTGTCAGCAGCCTCACCCACAGAAACCTGGGTCCCCCAATATGCGTGACCCACCAAGCCCATGTGCCTGCACCCTCTGCAAACTGGCCCATGGGAGCGGCCCGAGCACACAAAACAGCACAGCCCCTTGAACATAAAGCCTATTTTTAAATTCTTTGAGAAAAATGTAAACATCCTCTAGGATCCTATGACCATAATAACAATCCTTTCAAGTAAAACACAAAATATATCCCTTCAAATAAAACAACATAAAATATATAAACAAATGCTCTTCATAACAAACATGCTTATATTAGTCCAATAAACAGATACTTACAGGTCGCCTACTATAGGAGACGCATGGCTAGGAAGTGTGCGCAGTACAGAAAGAAACAGGCAGGAAACATGAAGCCACACAAGGCACTAACGTGAGACGGGAGGTAGTTTGTATTAACTGCCAAAAGAATGACAGAAAGACTAAAATACCACAAGTTAGAAGGAGAGAAACACTAGATTGGGATAGCCAGACATACGAACAACAACTCAGATTGAAGTTACGCTTTCGTGTTTTTCATCGGTGATATCCGTTGTGATTTTCTTGGCAATTTTTATTATCCTCATTTGATAGATTTGAAGATTTTGTGATAAATTCAGATCCCTTAAATTTTCAGGGCCCACTGAAAACAGAGGTTGCTGAATGGGTGACTTGCCCAAGATACCTCACAGCAATAAAGGACGGAGGTAAGGCTCTGACCTCGATCCTCTGACTTCAGATTCGCTTCTTCTACCCTGTTGTGAAGGCTGCCATTCCGCCCACCCTGGCCATGGTGGCAGACTTCACTGCTGGTGCCAGCACACCCTGGAGCACTGATTCAGGCAGCCTCCAGGAGCTGTGACTAATCCAGGGGAGCTAGTCTAGGAGATAAAGCCATACCACTAAAACCTCCAAGTCCAGACCACGCAGGAAGACAATGAAGCCAAAGAGACTTGCTCCTCTGATGACCAGCTGAACGCATGTCTGAGATGGCCGTCAGGGTAGAGTCTAGATGGCCGCCTCATTTGTCACGTGTTAAAATCAACTGAGTTAGGAGCGCTAGACTTTTTATGGGAAGGACCACCCCAAATCAAGATTGGGGGTCGTAACTTTGACTGCTGTGTTAAACAATCAGAATTTCGTATTCGCAAAGGCTAACAATATCTTTTGTGTTAAACCTGGCTTTCTTTTTATAGGATATAAATACGTTGAGTAAGTGGTTTTGGTGACCTCCAAATTAGTCATTAATCTCGATTTGGCCTGAAGCTCTGATTTGAAATGCTTTTCAAATAATGGGCGCTCCAAAAAGCAACTACATGGGAGAAAAGATAATAGGGACCACAGGAAGAGAGTCAAAGGTACATGTGTGCAGTGTTTGGGGAGAGGAAAAGCTCACCCCACTCCATATGCAAACTGAATCATGTTTATTTGTGTTTTTCCCCTGGGTGAATTATCTCTACACTCCACTACTGAGAAGAGAACGCTGTGATGCCAAAAAAGATTGGTATAACGACTTTTAAAATCCAAATTCAAATTCCAAAAGATTTCATAGTTTGTTTCCACTCGATATTATAATCCAAGGCACTGTAAACGATATGTGTCCATCAAAATTATTTTCAAATGAATAGCTGCATGTTTTGAGAGTCCTTTAAGTTGCCTTTGCCTTGGAGATAGGAAGTAAAGTTGTCCACGAGCAAAAACGCTCACAGTATCAAAAAAGTGGACCCTGAAAACTTAAGGGATCTGAACTGATCACAAAATCTTCATGACCTCAACATTTTTCTGTGTGTAAGATGCTAATATAAGCCAACATTTATTATTCATTATTCACTTCAGAAACTCAAGGCCTGATCTGATTTATTATTTGATGTTCATGAAGCTTCTAAAATCCACACACTGGGGGGATGGGGGTGCAGAAGGGAAGCCATGATGCTTTAAACATGCAAGATTAACATCTCATTTATTCAGGAAAATTCAGTTCAATTCAGTTTAATATAATTCCATCCTATTCAATTCAATTTATCTTAATTTTAAAATGCTTTCTATGTGCCAGATATCATTCAAAGACTAGGAATTCAAAAAAAAAAAAAAAGAAAAAGAGAGAGAGAGAAAAAAAAAAGGGCAGGCGTTCCAAGTTTCAAAGAGCTCGCAGGCGAGCTACAAAAACGTGGGGTAGTTTGATTTTCTCTAAACTTGCAGACACTGCCCTTCACTAGGCTTTCGGGCCCAGCTCACTACATTCCTCTCCACCCCTTCTCCTGTCATCATTTTCAGTGATTTCTGTATCCATGGGATGGGCCTGCAGCGATCAGGCAAAAAAGGGATGGTAGTCTGATGGGTGAACAGAGGAAAAGAGGATGATAAAACGATCCTTTATGTGGACGAAACCCAAGGAGAATGCAGGACCCCAAGGCAAGGCGCTTTTACCATCATGGGCAGAGAAAGGGAGGGAGAATCTGTTAGAAACGGGAAGATGAATTGTAAGGGAGGAAGCTATGGCTTTCAGTAGATGGATGCAGCCCACCAGCAGTGACCTTGCAGGGAGGAGCTGAAGGAATAAATACCCTGCCCTCTCCTTCTAAGGTCAAGGCCATGTGCCTCCCAGTCCGAGGGCACGGGGGCCACTGACTCTGTACCTAAGGGTCAGCCTCTGGTGGGGCCCAGAGCAGGGGTGAGAAGGGTGCACAGTGGAGCTGAGCGAGCAAACGAAATGATCCAGCGCATGACCCACCTACCACCATGGCCTCTCAGGTTTCGACAGGCGCCTTTTCCTCTCTCCCCTCAGCCACCCATCATGCTGTGGGGCTTATCATCACTTCATCTGTGCTGCCTCTGGATCCTGGGCTCACAGGCGCCCCTTTGATGATTCGGGCTTCCTGGCTCTATCATGTCCACGAGGCTTCCCCCACTCCCCACCCACCCTGTCCTGCTGTCCCTTCCTTTTGTGTCCACAGCTTGGGATGCACTGTCCATCCCTGTTGATATCAAAACGCCCTTAAGTCCACTGAAGCATTATTTGAGATGGCAAAAAAGGGGGGAACCATCTAAATATCCATCAGCAGGGGAATGAATATATTGCGCTTGGTTTATACAATGATTGAACTCTATCTGCTTTTCTTAACATGGCTCCATTTCAAAACCATACCATGGAGAAGAAAAGCAACTTACAGAAGGATGCAAACATCATGGCAGCACTGATGTTCAAGTTCCTGTTTTGAAGCATAAGAGCCCCTTTTATGTCAAATAGAATCGTCCATGCTTCTCAAATAGACGAAGCAGGTAAGAGTGGAGCTGCTCTCAAGGAAGCTCCTCTCAGGTGGAGAGAGCCTGGAAACCCATGGACCAGCTCCCACCCAGCTGCCCCCAAAAGACCCTCCATGGAACATGACACAGGCTGAGAACCACAGCTCCGCAGTGTGCAGGAGGCCTCCCCAGGGAGTGAGTGCCAAGGAAACTGACAAAGCCAGTGATTTGATTACACCACCTTTCAAAACTAAACCACTGTTCACAATTCTGGAACAACCCTTTGTTTGCTAAGAGAATATAAAAACCCCTGCTGCATGCATCCAGGAGCATTTAAGGACTAGCTGTTCGTGTTCACAGAAGGACAGGAGTCGTGCTTGCCTCTCCCGGCTTCCTGCAGTAATGGGCAGAGCTGGGGATCTGCGGCAGGACTGCACTCCCTCCTTGTTATTTACTGCAGCAGGCTGCCATTTCTCCTCCCATCCTTTGCTGTTTTCAGTATCTCACGGTTAAATGTTTATCTATTGTCATCTTGAAGCTGAGGAGTGTTTAATATTCCTACATCCCTTGAGCTGCTAGTGAGCTGCCCTGGTTTAAAAACAAAAACGAAAACAACCTTTAATATCCACTTCAACCTTTGCAAACCATATTGAGCAAATTCGTTGACTGAAGACCTCACTCACTAGGCTGACCACCTCAGGCCCCGCCCAGGTGAGAGCAGTGGTTGCATTCTGGTCCCCTGTGCATTTCTGGGGAGAAACCCGGATTCCTCAGCGGCATTGCAGCGGTCAGCAGATGCAGCCAGAGCCAGAGCTGGCGGACCCTTACCTAGCTGGGTCCATCCCCTTGGATTTGTAAAACTTCTAATAAATAGTTCTGGAAAAGGGAACTTGACTAGTAAAAAGGAGGTTTCTATTGATGCAGGCAGACCCCATCATAGGAACACTCAGCTGAAAACACTGGGAGGGTTCCCAGTGGAAACCCAGCTCTCAGTGGGAGGGTGGGATAGATTTTTCTCCCCATTTGGAAATAATTAGGGATCGCTGATTCAGAGGGAAATCTCTCCCATAACCAGTGGAGGGTCCACAAATAGCTCAAGGTGCCTTAGCAGACTGAAACTGAGTCTCTTTACCCGGGAGATGAGAACACTCCTGGGCAAGACAATGGAATGCTCCACCTGGTAATAGCCAGGATCTCTTTGTCGAGCTGAGCAGGGGCAGGAAGGAGGGTGGGAGGGAACCCACGCTGATGAGGCACCTACTTTGGCCAGGTGCGGTGCTATGTGAATTACACGCGCCAATTTGCTTCATCTCAAAATGACCAGTGAGAGT